TTAAATCCAGACTTATTTTGGCAGTTATTCCTTGGTTTGGGACCTAGTAAGACTTTTGCGGCTCCTTCCCTCATGATGATGACTTTAGATATGCCAGTTTTGAATGCAGAACTGTAAAACGCTGGTTTTCCCTCTACATCAAATGACCTTGTCTTGATTTAGATTCTCTTGAATGGATATTATCTTTTTGTAAAAATAGTTGGTTAATGTGTATCATTTGCCCACTAACTTTGTCAATTATTTTGAGACCGATATTTCTTAAACTGACAGTTTACAACAAGCCATTGGGTATTCACTTTTCATCTCCCCATACATAAAAAAGAGCATATGTAATTATATTAATCTAATATTCACTAGCCTTGTTAGCTTAATTTTTGTTTGGATGGTTTCTCTGGGGTTTTTTGACCCTGTTTGGAAAGCCTTATTAATTTTTGCAGACCTTTTAGGCTGTTTAAAAAAGCCTGTATTCCCTATTTACCTGTTGTGGGCTCTGTGGTGGTCTGAACATCTTCAGAGCTGCTGAGAAATTATCAGGCATGAATTTTCTAAAGGGCAGGCACTGTGGTCAGCTCAGAAATGCCAGATGACCTGCTGGTATGGAAACACTACATTCACGTGCTACAGAAGGGGCCTACGGGCATATTTCCAGTGTCCCAGATGACTAAAAAGTTCCATATCCATGCCTGACCAGATTCAGGGCAAAGATATTGCATGTTACAAGTAAGGCTGTTAGATTTGTATTTAAAAAATAAATAAAATATTTTTTTAGTTTTTTCTCATCCTTCACGTAATACTTAAAAAATAATTTAATGCAGACTTTGCAAGTGCAAACGAGCATCATCCCTGAAGGATTGTGAGGTCTAACATTTCTAGTTGATTCTAGCAGGGTTTGGTGTTTTGTTTTCCCCAGGGTTGATGGCCAGGTGGGATCCTCGTCTCCCTCTCTGCAGCCCCAAACCTGCTTGGGGAAACCCAAAATGGTACTCGGTCAAAATCACATACTTTGGGTGTAAATGAAGCTTCTTTTTGTGCACTAGGGGAGGTGAGGGAGCATTTTCCAAAGGGCTTCCTGACCCTTTATAGAGAAAAACTGATCTCTGAGTTTGGGCTGGAGTATGAGACCTTGCTGTTGGTGTTGTAAATAACTGAGCTGAGACATACAGGATCCCAAATGCAAACCAGTACCTGCCTTGAGGGGGTGTGGAGTGCTTGAGTGCTGGTCTTCAGGCACACAGTGTGGTGTTTAGGGGCCTGCAAAGCTGAGTGCTTTCCACTCCAGTGCCCTGCAGTAGCCCACGTTGTCTGAAGTGGCTGACTGGGGGCTTTTTGGTTTTAGTTTTGTTTTTAAATGTGGCTTTAGCCTGTGAACAGGGAAGCTGCCTTTTAAAAGGTTCTTGAATTCTGAGTTTAATTCCCTTGTTTATGTTGGTCTTTCATTTCTAGATCCAGAATAGATAGGGTTGCATTCAGAAAAAAAAATGCTTGTCCTGTAATTTCTGTGTAATTGAATACCAGCTTTCAATTCAGCTGTACTGGAATCCATTGAAAAAGAGATATTAGTGTGGTATTTGTTCAGATTTACATGTTTTAAAGATAAAAGCTGGCAATACACTCAATTTCACACTCCTTGCTCTTTCACAATAGTTATTCCTTCTTAATTGCAATACCTGATGCAATAAATAGTCCCATGGGTTTCAGTAAGACTGTTTAGGGAATTGAATGCCACGCTGTTACCAGAAATGGAAAAAATGAATAGTGCATTTAAGAAGTGCAGCATTTGGCAAAATGCTCATAGTTTGTACGTGTATCAAAAACTAATTGTTTTGTTTACTTATGGATCAATTTGAATTATTACAGAAAACTCCCAGTGAAAAGTATGTTAATGATGCTTTCTATGACACCTGGTGTGACATTTGGGATCCTATTAGAGTCTACTGTAAAATTCTATTCTAACATCAAAAATAACTTTTATACTGCAAAGTATAGCTGGAATTGATTAAGTTTTTTGTATGAAAAGCATAAACCATCTCTTAAATTTTACAAGTTCCGCCAAAGGTAATCACATAGACATGGCTTGGCTCATTCACACTTGAATTGGTGGTCAGATCTGCTCAGTATTGCAGGTATATAAAATGTTTCTGTTAAAACTGCTTTGTTTCACTTGTTTGTTCTAGTAGGACCTTTGTGGGTTTTTTTTAAGCTTTCCCTGTCCCTTCCTCCCTGACATAGCTGGCCAAGATCATCCTTGCAGTTTGTGTCTTGCAGCTGTGTACCCTGTACATGTCCTGTGCTTTGCTGTCCTTGTGGATGAGCTCTGGTTTGGATCACATGCCCTTTCCTCTTGTGCATGTGAAAAAGACAAACAGCAGCAGAAGAAAAACTCATATTCATGTTTAGAAAATTTGTTTTGGTTTAGGTAATGAGTATAACATCAATATTACAATGTACTTTTAAAAACCAAACCAAACACCATAGCTGTGCTTTGTCCTGGATTTATCTAGTCTGTTCATTAACATGACCTGTCATTTTAAGAATGTCATTTAAGCAAACCCAGCTGGTTTGCTTAGATTTAAATGAAGATCAGCTCAGCATGAAGCTTGTTGGAATTGCTTCTTGTGGAATTTTTTCTAACTTGGAATTTTTATTTGCTTTTGACTTTACCAAATTAAATTATTTATTTTCTTTAAATTAGCATGTTTAGGGAACTGCATTTCTATTGGAGTTACATCATGCCTATCTCATTCCTTCACTCAGCAGAAAGAGAAAAACAGAACAGAAGTTGAAAGATGTGTGTGTTAAAAAACAGCAAACTAACAAAAACCAACAGCAAAAAACAGCAAACAAACAACAAAAAAACCCCACAAACAAAAAACCCCATACCAGCCAAACAAAACTCCTAAATCGTGTCATACTTCAGATGAGACTGACTTTGCAAGTGCCTAGAAAATCCATCTGAAATAACTTTTATTTTGATTTTTCTGTTTGTTTAATGAATGTTTCTTGATCTTGTAGTTGATGGTGGAGGCTGACCTTGGATTCCTCTGTGAATACATGAAGCCAATGATGACAAAGTTCTTTAATTTCTTTTATTTGTTTTTACTCTGCCTACAGCACTGCTGTGCTCTGTCTCTACTTATAAGTGTTTCCTTTTAAGGCTTTGTAAAATTAGCTTTAACACTGATTGGCATCCTCTTTATTGTCTGTTTTAGGATTGACTCTTGTCTGGCTCGATTGCATTCTCTTTAGGAAATTGTTTGAATTTCTTTAATAGCGAAGACAGGAATTTCTGGGTGTTTTTGAGCTTTTTGGAACAAAATAAGGACATAGATGCTAAAATTCTCAGCCCCTCTGTTACATGATGAAATGTTTTAGGACTCCTTAGAATTATAAAATAAACTTTGAAATCAAACTCTGTGAGCATTTTGTAGCTTCTTCAGCTACCTTTTTTGGTTATCTGCTAACAGTAATGACCAGCACTGGTTTGGTTATGTCTGTTGAACTAAAGAATACAGTTCTCACTTCTTCTTTTGTCACTTTCTACTTTCACTGATACAAAGTCTCCTGTGTGGCTAGATTACAATGTGTTCACATCTAACATGTACAGAGCTTACATGCTTGTTTCATGAGCAGAACCTTGAACTCAGCAGTGAAGGTGGTTTCATCAAAAGTCTTAACCCTACAGCAGAGGATTTACACCTGATGCAATGCCATTGATTTGGTCAGTGCTATGGAGAAACAGGATGGTTGCAATCTGCAATCACTTCAGATTGCAACCAAACTTCTACAGACTATAATTGGGGGTTTTCTCATATGACACGCTAGGAACAAATAATGAGATCACTGATACATTACATGTCTGGATATTTGAGTTCTCACTCTCAAACAGTCACCAAAACTATTTCAGGCTATAGAATGGGCTTTTGTATGGGAATAGTATTGATGTATTAAGAATTTTTCTCTGGAATGCAAAGTGATCTGGCATCACCCATCTTTCTTTACTAAATGCTATTTCTGTAACCACTATAACTTTGCTTAGGACTTAATTCTCTTTGATCAGCTGTGCTGTCTTAAACATAGCAGAAACAGCAGTTGTAGCTCCTAACAGTGCTTAAAATGAGGCTTGTGTGTGGATAAGAATTCCATGAATTTTGATAGCTTATGGCCATTCAGATGGGTAAATGTGAAACTGCTGCTTAACTACCAAGTATTGTTTAGGTCCTTGTTGGCAAGTGAAGTCCTAGGAAACAAGTCTTTTAAGTGAAATAGAGTTATGTAGTTCGAAGATGGCAGAAGTTCACAGTGTTCATGTATGAATGATTCCTATACAGTTTGTAGCTTTCATGGGGGTTCCAGAGTTGGACTCAGTTGCAAATAATTTAGGTTTTAAAGAGCAGAATGTTGTTTTTTGCATATATGTAACGTAAACTATGTAATTCGTCAAAACATATCAAAGCACTTAGGGATTCATTCTTGGATCTGACAGCTTTGTATTTCAGCAGAAGAGTTTGGAGGCAAAGCATTGATGTGGCTGTATACCACGTGAACTTTACTTTTAGAAAATTGTATTGACTGGGCAGCTTAAGTGCTTGCTGCCTTGAAGGACTTGGAAATAACATTGTGTAACAGGAGTCCTGAGGCAGTAGCTGCTTTGGAAACTGATTTATGAAAAAGGCTCTGTTTGGAGGAGAATATTATGTGCTCCTCATCTCTGCAAGCTGCCCTGTGCTTTTTATTAGTTGGTGCTTCTCTAGGAGGCATTCCTCTCATGCTTTTGTTCTAATCTCTTTTTTCACAACATGAAAGAAAATCCTCTGTTTCATGTGCTCCGTGGAGTTCCTTTCATCCTTCAAAGTGATGTTACTTATTTTGCCATGTAATTGCCTGTATGAGCTTGGTTTTGAGCTGTAAAGCTAAGTATTGTTTTTGTTGGCAGGGTTATAATGTTTGCACATTTACCACATGTCATTGATTGATAACAGTAATGAAGTAAATAACTGAAGGATTTCACCTGTTTTATTTTCTCATTCTTCTGTCTTTCACAGGTTCATTGCTAAACCATGTGCCTTAGGCCTTAAAGTCCAAGCCAATGGACCACAGAAAGCTCAACCTAATGCTATTCTGGAAAAGGTTTTCACAGCTATTACAAAGGTAGAGTGTCTAACTAAAATATTTACCTTATAAAGTGGGATATTGCACTATAAACAATGTCAGAACAAAACAAAGCTAACGGATAAATGCAGAAGGTACACAAAAAAATCGGAACGTGCAAATATCAGCATTAGTATGCCAGCTTGAGCAGTTGTGCATCCCTTTGTGGCATCTCCTGTAAGCTTTTAATAAAAAAAAGTTGTCACAGAAACACTTTCTAAGTGCCATATGGCGACCTACTGGTTTTTTGCTTCTTATCTGTTAGAAATGTCAACAAAATTGTTGGGGCTTTTTTCAAAAAAGAAAAGCTAATTGTCAGACAGTAAGATTGGTAGTTACTGTGTTTTTCCATGGAACCAAAGCTACTCATAGGGGAATTGCCTGAGCACAGGGCACTGGTGTCTTGGTGGTGTCCCAGCTACAGGAGAAGGAGCTGGAGAAGTGGTACAAACTGACTGAATAATGTTTTAGAGTTCGCACATTTTTTTTGCACAGGTTTTTCACCCACAACTTATGTTTCTAACTCTACATCTCTCACCGTATCACATCTCAACCAAACCTCTATGTCATCTGTCCATGCTTTTGAAGTATCCCAAAACTTTCTTCAGGAGCTTCCTGGTCCTACCTTGGCTCCAGGCTGCAGCTGTGCATGCCACAGCAAAGGCATCAGCCTAAACCTCAGAGAATATTGGGGTCATAGAGGGGAAAATTGTGTTCGGTGTCACAGACGGTGAAATATGCTGTTAATCTGTCTTGTTTGTGTGTCCTACCCTGTCCTGAGATCACCGTGCCACTTGGTGTGGCTTTTGTCCTGTTTTCAAGGGAGGGAATTGCATATACCTTGTTTATAAAAGCTGCAGCATGTGCTCTCAACCAAACTCAGCTGAAGGAAGAGAATGGTGGAGTTTTGTTTGTTGTGGGGTTTTTGTGGTAATTTTTTTTGGTATTTAATTTAATTATTTTTTTTAATACTTCCTTGAAGAATCTGCTCATCTGACACTGGGCCTGCAATACTATGAGTGCAAAGAGCTCCAGAGGAAAGTATCTACTTTCCTGCAATAATCTGGTAGCTGCTGTCAGACAAACTGTCTGATTTAACTAGGTTACTTATTTGAAACATATACAGCAGCTCTCTCTAGTCAAACTCTCTTGCTGCATCAAGCATTTGGTTTTTCTAAGGTTACAAAAATTGGTTTTTTTAACCTTCCATTGAAAAACTAGTGGCCACTTTGGTTGACTGAAAAACTTCTTTGACATGAATAGCAAATACTTCATCCTTCTCTTCTCATCCTTTCAGTTCCCTTTTTTTCCTGTGTTTTCATAGTGGCTGGTAGATGAAACTTCAGTCTGACGAAGGTGTTGCTCTTTTACTTCTTGAACATTTTAGAAAGTCTTTGTCATGAGAGCTCTTGTGTATTATTCAGTGTATGTAACTGTCTTGCAGAAATAATGCTAAAGCTCCAGAAAACAGATTGTCCAAAAGCTTTTTCTATTTCTTTCAAAAACACTGTGATCAGGAGAAATATATCAGTAGTGCTCATGCTGTACTGTACATGTAGATTTGCTTGGAGATGCAGCTTGTACTGCTCTTCAAATTAAGGGCAGAATTATTTTCTTTTGCCTTACTTCTTCACTGGTTTGCAGGCATGGTAATGGTATGAGAGTTGCGTGTTTGTTGCTTGAGAGAATATTTGTATGTAATTAATTTTACAGAAAACAATTCTCTCTCCCTGTTGTCAAGGTGATTTTCCTTTTGAAGTTGTCACTTTGTTTAATGACCTCCTTTTTTAACAAACACATGCACAAATATGGGGTTTATCTTCTTTCTCTGCCAGTCAAACCATCTTCACTACTGCAGCAGTTGATAGGACAAAGATGCTGATGTAGGGGGATGAAACAGGCAGTGAGGTGTCCCATTGAGAAATGCATGGCATTTTATCCCTGTTTACCCTCACTTCCAAGTTTCAAGCAAGTTTTAATCACATTGTCCCCTTTGCAGTAATGATCTGTGTATCATATTGCAGCATCTGTCCTTCTAGATTAATAATAGTCACTGTAGACATATTTTGATGGGAATTTACCAGTAGAGATTTTTGTGAACATATATCTGTGTATCCATGTGTCTGACAGGTAGCCTTGATAAGAAGTCAAGGGTCATTGCAGTGGTTTAAAATTTAAAGTGTTAATATGGTCGGGCAGGAAAATAATGTTTATGCTTCTCTGTTCCGTAGCATCCAGATGAGAAGAGACTGGAGGGCCTCTCCAAGCAGCTGGACTGGGATGTACGCAGCATTCAGCGTTGGTTTCGACAAAGACGCAACCAGGAAAAGCCCAGCACTCTTAGGAAGTTCTGTGAGAGCATGTAAGGACATGTGTTACTGCGTCTTGTTGAGCCTATGTTCTCATCAGTTTTCCCCTTTATTCTTCACAGGTATTTTTGTAGATTATACAAATTGGTGGAATATAATTTCTTTAGTGAGAAAAACAGTGTTCATTCTCCTGAAGGAGTCAGATTGTACTTTTTGTGTACTTTAAATGGCTGAAAGCTTTCAGAAATCACAGCTGTGACTCTATACTGCCATGCTGCCAGCCTGATTCTTCAAGACGTGTTGGCTGGTGTTAGGGTGGGAAACTGTCTTTACAGCACAACCTTTAGCTATACAGCCTGACAGAGATCTGAGATGGAAGAGTAAAGATGAAAGCCAGTTGGGTTGTTAAGCCAAAAGAAGACGAAAGATAAATTGTCTAAAGATGATTGCATTTTAATAAACAGAGTAACTTAAGTGTCAGAATGCTTTCTTTGGTATTTACAGCTAAATCCTCCTTACTTAATATTTAATAAAGCCAGGCAGGGTGAGATTATGGATAAACCTCGTCATCCTGTTTCCAGCAGCTGATGGCCTTAGAGTTACTAATTTTTGGGATCAGTGAAGAACAACCTTTTCTTCTGCAAGGGTTGTAGCCATTAACGTATACACTTGTCTGCTTAACTTGTCGGAAAGGCTGTGGAATCTTGGGAAAAAATTAGAACTGTGTTAGTGTTAGAGCTAGCATATTTGAAAGGTGTATTTTGCTGCCTTTATAATTCATGTCAAAGGCTTCACTCTCTTGTATTAGTGCCAGCAGGTTTGAGCTGACCTAGAGATATAAAAACTTAAACATACCATGAAATACCAGCACAAATAGGAAAGTTACAGGTGCTGAACTTGCTCCTTTGTGATGTACGTTATGGAGAAAGCATGTAGTTGACAGCTATGAAGACAGACTGGAAGGTATAGTCAAGCTGACAGAATTTAGTGCCAGCTTAATTTAGAGGGAACCATTGGGCTTTACTGCAGTATGCATACTTATTAGTAATGAAAATACTTCTCCAAAAAGAAGCAAGATGGCATAAATAATAAGTGGACAGTTCAGGTTTTATGTGCCATAGTTTGCAGGCAGTGTAGTGGGAGTTGCCTCTCCATTTCTGTAAGTACACAGTGCTGTGAAAACGAGGTGCTATCTAACCAACCATGTGTACCTTGCCCTGAGAGCATTTGTAGTGGTGGAGTGTGTGTGCCCAGCTGACCCGCCACACATATTGGACAAAGTTGTTGGCAGGTAGTTAAACTAGCACTGGGAAGCCAGGGATACCCTTTTATCCCCTCAGTATGGGTGTTAGACTGTTGTCCAGTTAAATCTGTCTGTAAGGGCACTAAGCGAGGTACTTCAGTATGTTCTGATTGAAGAAATCCTTCGGTATGAGGTCTGTAGCCTTTTCACAGCTATTGAGTTAATGGGTGGCTTTCTGGATGTAGTGTCTTTGTGTGGCAGCTGGTTTGGAGTTCAGGGCTGCATACCATATGTGTTCCCACGACTGTCTGGGAAGGGGAGCACTCAAGTCTTCAGTAACTGGAATGCCAGTGGAGAGTTTCGTAGCTGTGACAGAGAACAAAATGTGCCCTTATGTAATAAGCAAGTACAGAGCAAGGAAAATTACAGTGATCCCTGGCTATACTTTCAACTATTGAGCTGCTGTTGTCCCTCCAGAGAAGACTTCAATTTTGCTGGCAACAGCATTGATTGACTGTGACTTGGGAAGAAAAGTGACAGAACTCATAGCAAATATGGAGCTGCTTAGAAAGAGCTCCAACTCTTTTTTACATGGAGATGATTCCATTTACTCCTAGACAAAGTGTTCCTTGGGTCCAGACTGGCTTTTCCATGATGCAAGGAAGAAAGCAGCTGTGCCAGAAAGACTGTAGGCCATTTATGACTGCCTTATCTTTATTGCAAATGAATAGCGTGGGCATGATCTATGGCAAAAGAGTTTCAATAGAACAAAGGCTGAGAGTGAAACTTAATGATAAACACACTTGTCTGAAATGAATGATACCTAAGACCCAGCCCCAAACACACTATACCAGTAACTTCATCACTAGATTCTTTTTGTCCCAGATTTCTCACTTTCTTTACCCCTTCCCTTCTTTTTCTTTCCAAGCAATTTCAATTCTGGTCCCAAATAGAGTGCAGAGAAACTCAGAAACCTACACTTCTTTGGATTTTTGTTTATTTGTTTGTTGGTTGTTGGGGTTTTTTTCCAAAAGGAATAATTCTTTTGCTGCCAGTCTTCGTCATATGACCTGGCCTTTGGCAGATGATGGTTATATGAAGAAAAAGGCAGTAATAAAATCTATTGTCTATAAACACTGTTTGTGCCACAGCATTGTAGTGAAAATAAATGGCTTATTCAGGAACCTTAACCAGCATTCACCCCCATAGTTTTGTGTGTCAGTCTGAAAGAGAAGGCATCACTTGCTTGTTGGAGCTGTAGAGACCCTAATGGTGAGACTACAGTGGCATCATCTACCTGCTTAAAATATTGTATATTGTGGTGATAAGTACCTGTATGAAATATGAAATCAATAATTTCACCAGGTGGTGACTAATGATCCAGTATTAGTCAGAAAGACAGTAATAAATGTTGTGCTGAGTATTATTTTGCTAGCAAGTCAGTGGGTTGTTTCTCAAAGATTTGGTGACTCTGACACAAAATTTAAAGTTAAAAGCAATCACAGTTTGTAGTCGCTAGGAAAGGCATCCACCTAGGATAACCTCAGATTGCAAAGCCCAGGCCCTTAACTTAATGTATTAGCTGCAGGGATAGTCTGTCCATAGCTTTTCTTTCTCTTGTGTGAATTTAGGCAATTTTGCCTTCTTTCCTCAACTCGAAAGATCTAAGGTACATAAAGAAGACAAAGTGGTGAACTGAGTGTGCAAAGCAGACTTTCCTACCTCCATGTATTTCTGTTGGTTTTTTTTTTTTGTTATTCTTTTCTCTCTATGCCCATGGCACAGCCTAACAGCTAGAAAGCTACTTTGCTGTTTGCCAGAGTACAGGGTCCAAGAATGTCTTTCTTAATGTCTGATATGTCAGAAAGCCAGTGCAGTAGTAATTTCCAAACCACTTCCAGTTTCTTCCCAGTTTGTGTGTTGTGCTACTGCTCCCACTACCAGTGCGTAGGCATGTCTGGTTTTCTCAAAGACTAAGTAGTACAGAAAGAGCAAACAATCTGTCTGCCCCCCTTGTTGTTTGGAGCAAAGAACCTGCGATGCTGTAAGTTATTAGCCTGAGACTTTGGAATTTCAGCAGGCTGATGGCTTGTCCATCCTACAGCTATGTACATTTAAGCAAGCTGTTTATTAGAGACATATACATGGTTTCCAAGGAGTGGCTGGAAGAAACATATGGCCAAGAGAAGCTTTTTGAATTTATGCAACGTTCTGCATGTGAAAATATGGAAATGTGCAGACTGAAGAGCCAAAGATCTATTTTTTCCCCCCAATTCTCTAGAAGCAGCTTGGATACTAAAGTGTCTGCAAGTGGGGCGTCTTTTACTTTTGAGGTAGTGGAGAATAGTCTCTCTCATCTCCTGGTCAGACATTCTCTTTCCCGAGGAATTGAAACTGTTTATGCTCATTGCTTTGGGGGAGATTTTATCTACCTGTGACTGTATATATGTGTGTGTGTGTGCACGTGTATGTGTATAGATAGAGAAATATAGAAAATATTTTTGCCTATCATGCACATTTGTGTGAAAATTTTATGGGCTGTTTGCAGCTTCTCGGCCATGCTGCTTTTCTCAACTAGCAGAGTAATTTTCTTCTACAAAATTATACTGGAAAAATAGCTATGCAAGGGAAAGAAATTAAGACAGCTTCTTGTTATTAAAATTCTGAACTGTGCTGATACAAATCTTAACAAAGCGCATAAAAGAATTCATCAGTCTGTGCTTTTTGTAGCGGTAAGACACTAAAAACTAAATAGGCTTCTAGCTTTGAATTTTTAATAGCCTCAGGCCCTCTTAAGTCAGCTTCTAAAACATTTCTGATCTTTGAGATGTGAGCAAAAATATGTGGTAAATGGTATTATGGGTCCATTTAATTCTGATTTGTTAGCTGCCTTAGTGCTACATGCAATGGAGGACTCATCAGTGTTTCATGACCAGAAAAGAGAACTAAGGGGATGGATCTGTGAAGCCATGCTACATGCTCTGGGGCATGTGTGATTGTTACTGTTCAATGGCCATAGAATTGCCGTATCTCCCTTGTTTTCCTCTGCTGTTTTGCATGGAACAGGAATGGCTGTTCCTCCTCACTCTAACCTACGAGGCATAATCTCTTCCTTGGTGCTCTGGTCTGTTTAGGAGAGCTAAAGCACTGGTAACTTAACCAGCTGCTTGGTGAAAGGGAAACTGCACACCTAACTGGTATGCTGATAAGCAGTAAGAGGTTTTCTTTGCTATTGTAGTTCTGGATTTGTAAAAAAATTTTTAACTGGGGAGATACTTAGTTGTGCTGTTCCTTTCTGTAATGTGCTACAGTGGGCTGTGTCCTGGTGTGGACTGTGTGCTACATCTGGGAGGTCCTGGAGACAGGTCCTTCTGTTACAAATGATCATAGGACAGCAGTCTCACCTGAAAGAGAAAACATCGATGAAAATCCAAAATTTCTGGAAGTCACTGCGAAACAGCAGAAAACTCTGCAATCAAGCACAGTATTGGAAGCCTCTATGTAATTCCTGATTTCTTTCTCTGGAGCACTTAGTACGGAAACATTTTTGTACAGGTGAAAAAAAGTGAGTCATTTGCATATTTCTCTTGCTGATCCTTTACTTCATTCAGTATTCAAGTTAGCTTTCTGTGACCTTGAGTAAAATACTCGGTGCTTCACAGAAACTGTTAGAATACCAGAGCAGTTAATTTAATTTTCTGTTAGTGGTATATGAAGAACAGAGTATTTTGTGATATCATTGAGGACAGGGAAGTGTATATTTATGTACACCTCTCTGTGTCTGAATGTAGATTTTGGGTTTTTTTCCCT